CAGCCCAAGAAGGTAAACCTAGATTGGAATCCAAAAATTGCGCATACAACGCGTTTAATGCCACAGTGTAATGGTTGGCACTACTGTTTCTGCATTCTTCAGGTCCCAGGTTAGAATGTAGACCCAGAAACCAGTAAACATAAATGAATATTTTCATATTCTTTTCAATTAGATGATTGGATGGTGTTTTAAAATAGGCCAACATCCTTCTTAATTCATCATTCATAATTTTTCTCCAACTTAACCCTATAAAACGTATTTTGCTGAAGTGTCATTAAATATACCAAGAAACAAACAGCCAAATCTTATAGCATGGAAAGCATGTTGTATGTCATAGAATGCTTATGAAACTTTGTATGCAGATATCTTTCTTGAGATTTTGAAATTTTGTAGGTTATGGAATTGCTATGCCTTACTGCAGTTCTGATTGGGATTGAGAGATGTTCTAAATTGTGCTTTCATCATGTAAGGTCACATCTGGAGTGAGAACACAAAATAAATACATACAGACCACTTCTTATATTCTGCCATGTGGCATGTTTTCTAGTTAGAAGCTTCTTAAAATGTGTTTGTATAATTAGTTGTGGCCTAAATATGGTCTTTGCCAGGAAATTAATTTTTAGAATTATGTATACTGCACCTGTAAATTAGATATGTACATGCCAGTTTTTAACATGTTTTTTCAGAAAAAGTTGTTTGGGTGAAAATACTACGCAAGATGATACATTATTTGGCATGTCACAATCTAGAAATCTATACAAGCATGCAGATTAACCAAATATACTGCAGTAGTGTAAATAAGTAATAGAATGCTGTCTGAATTGATCTCATTATCATCAGTGCTCCAAACTATGGTACTGGTACTTTTGAAGTGAAAATATATTTTTTTCTTTTTATGTTCTCAATCATTGTTTATAAGTAGGATATTTCTGTTTCTGGTTACCTTGTATCTTGTGTTTTCTTGCAAAAAGTGGAAAGGGTGTGGAATATTGATATATCTATTTCAGTCGAGGCTGCAGGAGGCAGATGCCTGCCTTGTGTGGTAGATGTCCGAGATGAGAAGCAAGTGACATCGGCTGTTGAGGAGGCTGTAAAGAAATTTGGAGGCATTGACATCCTCGTGAACAATGCTAGTGCCATCTCACTGACAGGTACCCTAGATACTGAGATGAAGAGATACGACCTCATGCATCAGATCAATACTCGAGGCACATTCCTTGCGTGAGTGTGATTTATTAACATATGAGACGATTCTGCGTTTTCTTGCTTCACTTGAAAAATATGGGTTTGGTGAAATGATACGAAGGAGCCTGAAAATTTTCCTGCTGGCCCCGGTGTTGAAGCGTTGAGTCACAGTACGTGGTAGTTGAGTGTGTTTGCTTCACTGTTTAGTACAGAACTTGTAGACTTTGCGCAACAAAAGTCAGATGCTTGAAAACAACATCGTAATTCCATTTATCTGTAATATTTTATTTGTTTATGTGTGGTTTTTGAAACCTTCCATTAACTGCCAGAATGTCTGCGTGATCTGAAGGAAAATTGCTTTTCTGAGTTGGTTTTGTTCCCTCAAAGGCAGGACTCGTGCTGAAGCGAACCATAATTTTCTTTATTTCAATGATTGTGTGTACTAATTAGAATTGGTGTTTCAAAACTTTCACGTGGAACTCGTACCAAATGCAACTGCAAATGTTCAGATTGTGATATTCGAAAGAGAATAAAGTGCGCGCAGTCCAGTACCAAGCAGTAGGTGATTGCCAGAAAAATAATTGACATTGTCACTGCGTTGTGTATGCCAATTGGCAAGGCCCATGATTATTCATCTAAAAACAAAATTTACTTGTTGCTTGCCACTGCTGAATGCCAACAAGATGCAGCCCCTCTTCTTGAATGCAACATTTGGTGTGCCCTTGGAGATCCAATGTCATGACCTCCCAAGTCCCTTAATTTCGCTCTAAATAGTGAACTAATACAGGATGTCTTAAAAAGGTACATACACATTATGTAAATTACCTTATTTTCAATCTCTGTACGTTAGGTTTGTAATGGGAATGTAGTGTGTTCTACACTTAACAGATGGCACTGCAATATCATTTCCCATGATTTATACATGTAAAATTATTTCATTCATTGGATGTGTGTGTATCTTTTTGGGACTGTCTGTACATATTACATTTCAGGTCAAAAGTTTGCATTCCCTACCTGCAGAAAAGCAGAAACCCACACATCCTGAACTTGAGTCCGCCCTTGAATATGGTTCCAATCTGGTTTAAGAATCACGTGGCTTACACCATGGCTAAATATGGAATGTCCATGTGCGTTCTTGGCATGGCGGAGGAGTTCAGGGATGACGGAATTGCTGTGAATGCTCTGTGGCCTAGGACAGGTAAAATATAAAGAAGAATCTTGTTAATTTGAACTGCTTGCTGCTGAAAGGGGTGGCTCCCCATGTTTCTCCACTTACCTTCCCATCATCAAAAGCTACGCAAGACTTTGTGTGAGTTGTGTTCTGACAGTCGCTGTGGGCGTTCATTACCCGATGTTAATTTTGTCTGTCGAAGATGACGGCCTTGTAGGTTGTTTCAGTATCCTAGTATATTGATACTCGTGACTGCCAGAACCTGAATTTTACGTTTTGTTCAAAATCTTTGATAACAGGCCGTGTTGTAGAGGTTTAATCAGGTATAAGTTCGTTTGCATTTACATTTTGTGAAATTTTAGCTTACATAGACACAGGACATAAGCAGTAGCTCAATTTACTAGCTTTCGTACTTGAATTTTAAAAATATTTATCTGTACGTTTGCAGCAATTTATACAGCAGCCATTGAAATGCTTAGTGGCAAGGATGCGGGATCTGTATCGCGGAAACCAGAGATCGTAGCTGATGCTGCGTACGCCATCATTTGCCGGGACTCAAGAGCTTACACGGGGAATTTCGCTGTAGATGAAGACATTCTCAAAGAAGAAGGAATAACAGATATGAACCAATACGCTGTGGATCCTTGTAAGCCATTGAAGTATTTTTGGCAATTTGAGCAGTTGGGGAAAAGTAAAAGACACAGGAAAGTCATAAAACATGAAAAGTGGACCATTTGCCTTGTTAGCTGAACATTACTTCTTTCAGCCTCTAAAGAAGCCCTTATGCTCGATTTCTTTCTGGAGACGGGTCCGCATACGATGAAGATTGCGCAGCAGAGCAGTGGGAGCGCTGCAGGAGACCAGATAGCTTCTATATTTGAGAAGATTCAAGCTAATCTAAGCTCTGAATTGGTGTCAAAAACCAATGCGGTATTTCATTTTGCTGTGAAAGGTTGGTAATTTTAAATCCTCATTTTTAGTAGCCACTTAAACTTTTAAGGAAATGATTCTCATACTTTACTACTGTGGAACCCTTTGAGTAATGAAATGTTTCTTATGGAACTCTTGAAACAAAACTTCCGCATTTTTAATTTGCACTAATTGGATCACTAATGCATTCGTGTCGTAGCAGTAGGTAATATAGCACCCTGTTAATTGGAGTCAAACTTGCCGTTAGGTTCCGAGTCTGGCGACTGGTACGTCGACCTCAAGACGGGCAAAGGTTCGGCCGGCCGAGGGAAGCCTTCATCGGCCGCTGATGCGGTACTCACCATGGAAACCAAGGACTTCTTTGACATGTTTTCTGGTACATAATTACTGTGCTCCATGTTTATGCGTTTCTTAATATACGGAGTAATTTTTGTGTTTTGTGACTTCGTACAAGTGACGTGCGAGATCCCAAATTTTTATGGGATTTGAGGTTCTTGTGGCAGTGAAGTTGATGCTTTTGTTCTTCTGCATTGTGACGTCACGTAGACTTGGAGGTAGATACGGTAATTTCAGATAATCTTAAAATTTTTGGTCTGAAGCTTTACCGTGGATGGAACGTTGCATTTGAAACTTTGTTTTATATATATTTTGTATTAAATTCATTAAATTGGTCTCGTGTTGATGGAAGAGCTCAGAGTGCCGGGTGCTTTGGAGAATGTTTAGGCCTAATGAGAATTAAGTGAAAGGAGGCCGGAGAAAACTGCATAATGAGGAGCCGTACGATTTATGCACTTCGCCAAATATTGTTAGGATTATCAAATGTGGGATGAGGTGGGTAGGGCATGAGACCAATGAAACTTGCACAAAAGTTTTGTTGGGAAAGCATGGAAGGGAAGTGACCACTTGGAAGAACTAGGCATAGATGGAAGGATAATATTAAAATGGATCTCAAGGATATAATAGGTAAGGATGTTGATTGGATTCTTATGGCCCAGATATCAGATATCCCAGTGAACAATAATTGCAGGACACAGCAGAAAGAGCATTTCTAAAGCCAGTATTGGGCAATGAAAGCAATTGGGTGCAAGATCCCCCAGAAAAATATGCATTAAGACTTTCCTCAAAATGTATCACTAGGAAAAGGATAATCTTTCTTTGAGGTCATATTATAGGGGAGGTAAATATGACAAATGTACTTA